TTATAACATATTTATGTTATAATTTTCGAATAAACAATTATATATATCTATATCTATATATATATATATATATGAAAATATATAGAAAATATTGAAATTTTCGGCTCTTGTTTTTTGAAACATGAGAGCTCTTATGTAGCAATGGAATCATATTTTAAATAAATAATTATATATATATATATATATATATATATACATATATATATATATATAGAAGTACGTACATACATATATATATATATATATATATATATATATATATATATATATATATATATATATATATATATATATATAAAAACCAGAAGTGGGTTGAGTTGAATAGGGTTTGTGTTAGTGTTATATAATAAGTATAAGAGCAGTCCGTGAGTATCTTGATTGAAATATTTCCCGAAGAATGGCTTGGCCAAAGTGTTGGTGTATCGAAACATTACGTCAGAGATGCATTTAATGAAATTTATACACAAAGATGCATGTGCAAAAGTATTTGTCGATGTCTGGAAGGAACTTAAAAGCTGGGTGCATTATTGTTGCGGTGTGCTCCCTCTAACGAGTCTATTGTAGACTCTTCCACTTGCTATAAAGTTAGTAGGATAGTATAGATTGAACGCTCGTCAACCGACACACACGCCCAAGTCGTGTAATCCTCTTCTGTTGTATTTACTGTTCAATACAGGATTTATCTGCAACGTGTTATTTTGTATTTCTTAACCATTTAATTGGTTAAAACAATGGACACCTGTTTGAGTAGCTGCACTGATTAAAAGTTTCTGTGCTTTTGCATTGTAGTATTGCATACAATAAAATTTAATTGTATATGTAATAATTGTTTATCAAAATGTAATTGTATTACCATGTAATCTCAAACTAAATGGTATCATTTACTCTCCACGTACTTTTACTTTAATTTGGTTGGTTTGGTTTGTTTTACAGCATATCAACGTCTAAATGGGTTATTTAATGCCGACAAGATTTTTATTGCTGGTAATATCTTTTCAAAAATGTATTGTTGGTAATATATTTTGTTTTCAAAAATGTGTTGCTGGTAATAATTTTTGTTCTTTAAAGATTCATTGCTAGCAATAAGTTTTTACAAACATTTATTACTGGTATTACAATTTATTTTTACACTTTCATAGTGTTTTGAGCCTAGTTATTTGCCCATAGTTGGAACCCTAACAGGTGTTACCACCCCAGTAATTAAGAGGTGGTTCCACGCTCCTCAAATCCTCCTGATCAGAGGCATTCTGTTGGATGTAATTTATCATCTTACCCAGGACGCGTATCTAGTTTATCGTCTTACCCAGGACGGCCTCTTTTAGTTCACTCAGTATATACAGCGGGGTCCGAAAGTTTTGTCACACCCTACATCTCTTCCAAACAGTCGGAAGCTCGTTTCGCCCATCTGAAATAGAAAATTTTATGATATAGTAGTGACTAGACTTTCGGACCACACTATAAAATCGGCACATGTGAGGGTGTTATATTCTTTTAAATTTTTATTGGTTGAAGGATTAACATGGATGAAATTATAAGATTGAGTAAAATCGGTTTTATGTGATTGCGTACACACACACACACACATATATATATATATATATATATATATATATATATATATATATATATATATATATATAAACCTAGTGAGCCAGACAAACCTACCCAGGTTTCACCTTTGCAGATCGTCAGGGAAAGATGACTAAAGAGGTAAAAGAAAACAGCATATTTATAGGCGATAATCAAAATCATACCACGTGACCAAAAAAAAAAAAACAACACAAGAACACCGGAAGACTTTCATGTTTTCTAGCTCTTTCTTTTTTTTTAAACCTTTTTCCTTCGAGATTGATTTGATTATTGGCAAATCAAAAATTCGAAGGTTTTTCGAAACGATAGTTACCTATATATATATATATATATATATATATATATATATATATATATATATATATATATAGTAGTACTCGTTTGGAAAACCTCGGATAGCTCGTCTTGCAGTACAACAAATCGGTACCCAAGGAAAAAATTGGAATTAAATAAAGAAAGTGCCAAGAACATTAAAACAAGACGAAACGAGATCATCAAGTGTTTAAGCTCCAAGTTTAAAGAAAAAAAAAACAAAAACGAATAAAAAGGCAAAAACGTAGACTGTTGAATACGCTAAGTAGAGGAGTAAAGTAAAATAATCCTAAGGAGCCAGGCAAACCTACCTAGGTTTCACCTAAACGGATCTTCAGTGTAAAGCCAGCCTTACACTGAAGATCCGTTTGTTACAGTTTTTTGTGTATATATATAGGTGTAACTAGGAGATTTATTGTAAAAGTTACAATTGTGGCACAAGGCCAAAAAGTGGAGGGGTAGAGGCTGGTCCAAACTAACTATCGTATACCTAGCTAATCAGATTCACGACCCATTCATACATTACCATTTACCGATTCACCATAAGAACTCGTCCATCACCAAACGATCCTCCACCCACCATAATACCACATACTCACAAGGGGGACCTATAAAACGCGCCCCACACCATAAAAATATAATAATATATATGTAATTTAAAATTCTAATAATGATAAATATATAGGTGTAACTACTGAGTTAGTCAAAATGACTTAATTCACTTTATAGTCTACCAATAGAAGGTTAACCAATCAGAAGCCGCAGAACATTGTATAAAGGCGGCCATTTTTGTTTACCCTACCCGAATGACCAGTGCCAACTTGTCCGGCGAAGATGAATAAGGAAGAACTATGCTTTCCTACTTTGTTCCGAAATATTCACTGCTAACCTCTGGGTTCTATACTCGAAACGACCGTCGAAATGTCTAACACCATTTAGCATATATATATATATATATATATATATATATATATATATATATATATATATATATATATATATATCAGTCAAGGGAATAAAGATGGTAACTTATCACTTCAAGCAAGGCGCGTTACCTAAGTGAAACTGTCCTTGCGCCTGATTCCTTTTTTTATGGAAGAGCGTAAATAGCTAGTGAACCGCAAGTTATCCATGACTGGACTATAAACCGCCAAGAGATGTCACAGTGTGCCATTTAAAAATGAGTAAAGTTGTAGCTGATCGAGAGCACACAAGCCGATACAGTATCGGCTGGGTTAGGTCACCATGGAGAGGGAGTCTGATGTTGAAATTCCGGAAATCCCTAATGAACCTCAACTAAAAACGTCACTGAGGATGTGCGCCAATCCATCAACCAGATTTATTTCCCGATATTTTGGAAGGCTTCATTTGCTGGGTTCAGATTACGATGTCATTGTTTCTATTCTGCTGGTCTGAAGATAGAATAATAACACATTCTACTGGTCTGAAGTTAGCATAAAAAAGATATTCTGCTGGTCTGAAGATAGCATAAAAACATATTCTACTGATCTGAAGATAGAATAATAACATATTCTGCTGGTCTGAAGGTAGCATAATAACATATTCTGCTGGTCTGAAGATAGCATAATAACATATTCTACTGGTCCGAAGATAGCATAATAACATATTCTGCTGGTCTGAAGTTTGCATAATAACATATTCTGCTGGTCTGAAGATAGCATAATAACACAACGATTCTGAAATTTTGACAAATCTAAAACTTTACTCATTAATTCAAATCCAGTTAGATTATCAGTTTTAGCGAATTTTTTTAAATCAGAAAGAGACAGTTGAAATTCCACTGTTTTCTCATAAATGTGACCTTTGAAATTTTGACACTCACAGAATATATTGAAGGCAAGATAAGCCTGACCTTCCTAACGAACGCGTGCAAATGGATGGCAGAAAAGGGTTTAGAAAAGATGACAAGATAACAAAATTTATTAAGCGCTCAGGAAATTTTGGACAGTTTTTGATGGAACAAGACGCTCAGAAGAAGAATCTTTTGGATATTAGATATTTGCATTCCTAATAGAAGTGTTTTCCTTGTTGCTAAAATCAGGGAAAAATATTCGAAATGATTTAATGCACGAGGACATCGTCATCTTTATTGTTTTGATAACGAGCATTTCTTTGGCTCATTCCTAGTTTCTACATATTTCAACATTCCACTATGTTTTGCAACAAGTCAGAACAATTTACACACATTTTTGCTTTACTATTTTTCAACTAATACACAGCTAAATCGCCAATCAAGCTAGAGAGGTATTTCTTGAGGATCTTCCAAGGGCATGAAGGAACATGACAACGGTTGCATGTTTTAAGGACAAGAGGGTAGATAAATGCTGATCCTCGACTTGAAGAGTTTTAAGAAGCATTCTCTCGGGATTCCGTTCCACATTGCATCAGTTCTGGAGAAGAATATGTCTGAGTGAAGCTTATTGCTTACCAAAGGAACATGAAGAGTAAGTCGACTCGTGTATTTGGCCTGATGGCTCCAAGCAGTGGATATCTCGATTGGTGGAATCAAGGAATGTAGTTCGCCCGAACATTTGCCATAAATGCACTGGTAGCGTAGCGAGTGACTAGCATTTTTTTTCGGCGGTAAAGGCGTTGAAAGTTTGAAAACAATTACCAAATACCCTGAATCAGCTCATTCTCAATCCTCTCATAATCCCTTGCGGAGGAGAGCGTTAACACAGAGAGCTTCTTCTCCGTAAGATTAAGAAGCACTCTCTCGGGATTCCATTCCTCATTTTATCAGTTCTGGAGAAGAATATGTATGAGTTAAGTTTATTCTTTACTAAAGAAACATGAAGTGTCAGTCGACTCGTGTACGTGTCCTGATGGCACCAAGCCGTGGATATCTCGATTGGTGGAATCAAGGAATGTAGTTCGCCCGAACATTTGCCATGAATACACTGGTAGCGTAGCGAGTGACTAGCATTTTTTTTTCTGTGGGAAAGGCGTTGAAAGTTGGAAAACAATCCATTAAAGAAAATGAAGCTCTGGAGAGCCATACTTGCTTACATTCTGAAGAAACATGCTATTTAAAAAAAAAATCTTTACCGTAGTAATATACGCCGGAGTAACTTTGTATGTTTTTTGAAAGCAAATTTTCTTTCTTTTCAGTCGAAGATACAGCTGTCAAAACGACACGGTCTGATGGGAGCAAGTTATTTGTTATGGTAGCTGAAAGGAATCAAAAAAAAAAAAAAAGAAGAAGAAAGGGAACGCTGCAAACGTCGACTCTGCCTCTTCCAGAAAACGCCGACAATTTTCAAGATCCTTGCTATTATAATTTCTATTTTTAAACCTAAATGGTTATTTCAATTTATGAATTAAACATTTCGATAATTTAGTGATTGAGTTATTTTTTTTAAACTTTTTTATTATCTCGCACAATGTTTTCAATTACACAGCAAATAACTAGCGTTTGTAATCTTCCAGGGAATTCTTTATCGTATTATCTAAAGGCCACAATAAACATTTGAAGTTTCAACAATGAAGTTTCAACATTTGCTGATTACGCCTAACGAACAAAGCTTGGCAGTCAAGCAACATTACGCTGTGTTTTGTCCATTCCGAAAGCTTTTTTGTTAGTTGCTCCCTTCCGTTGATGTAACTGGTAGCAGTACTTGTTCGAATCGGTCGTTTGGTCTCTAGGAAGATACCGCTTTATTCATGCTAGTTTTTTGAGCACATTATATTCCTTCGTTCCACCAGTCCAGACCTTCACAGCTAGGAACCGCCATACCCTAAATCAATTCATTCTCAACCCTCTCATAATCCTTTGCGGAGAAGAGCGTTAAACACAGAGAGATTCCTCTCCATAATTGTTGTATTGTAGAACAGACTCCGGAGAGGAAGCTTTTCCGGTCATTGCCATCTTAAACTCTTTAACCGTTATCTATCGTACATTTTCTCATAATATGCATATCCTAAACGAGGGGTCAGGAAACTACGTTGACCATACCATTTGTGGTACGCCAAGCAGTTTCCAATGGCACGCAGTCTCAAATAACATCACGCAGTCCGAACCAATAACGACTTCAGCCTAAAGAAGATATTTAACTGTTTCAATTTTAATATATACTAAAGTATATATACTATATATTACTATATAAAATATATTGTAGAACAGGTATTGACCTAGACTTGTATAAAAAATACGTATGTTGTTGGCACAGTGAATTATTTTAAAAGCCTTAAAGCAAAAGGTCGTCGGCCCCTGTCTTAGACCATCCCTGTAGGGTCTTACCAATTCATTTGGTATCTCTCAACCTTTGGTGGTTTTGAGATCTGTATTGTCTGAATAATGACAAGAAAATATTTGGGTGAAACAGCAGACAATTTAAAAATAATAGGAAGATGACGAATTTGCTTTCAGTACTACTAGACAATGAATCCATCTTGGACAAACTCTCTCAGAACAAACCATACATAAATATCAATCACCAAAGATCAACAAGACTTAGCAGAATAATATATTCCGTTGAATCATGTGACAGAATCAAACCTCAATTCAGCTCGTAAGGAACGCAAAAATAAACATGATTGGATAGGAATAGTTATTAACGAAGAACTGTGCCAACAGTTAAAATTTAACTCTGGAAAAATAGTGGGTAAAAAAAAATGGAAACCCTCCTGGATAACAAACAAAAATATTTTCTTTGACATTAAAATTAAAATATATCATCCAATCCAGGTCCGGGTACTATATATATAGTTAAGTTAAGGAGAAATTATTTGGATTTAAAATGGTCTTAAATTTGAGATGAAGTCTTGTCATTATTTTACAAATTATTCAAACGAGTATCGTTATTCTTTTTTAACGAATCGATTCGGTCTGTTTGCAGACTGTGTAGCGTCAAATTTGGAAATGTCACTCACATCATTAGCGAAATAATAGCGTAGATGGTGTATAAGCGAGGCCATGATAAAGGGGTCTTTCATCTTCTTGTGATGTCAAAGAAAACTCAGTTGACACTTTTGTAATGTCAACGAATACTCGTTGTCACTTTCGTAATGCTCGTTGTAGTAGAGACTTTGTAATCGCAGATACAACCACAGTAACGCCGTTGAACAATACTGGTGTCAGACGCTTTCAAATAATCTCGCACTAATTGTACTTGCTCGATAATACTCGCTCGAATAGTAATCTGCGTAGCGACGCGAATAGAGAAATAGTATACTGAATAGCGTATAGAATAGCGGTCCTTATAGTAATATAGGATAGACTAGAAATGCGATCTGAATAGTAATAGAGGATACAATAGAATGGCAATCCGAATACTAATAGAGGATAGACTAGAAAAGGTGATCACGCTACCTTCCATATATGCGCTTGCTCTATGGTTACGTGGTATACTTAATTCAATAATGGGATCGCCTGTTTGCTCACTGGCGATCTGTGTTCAAACTCAAGTGTCGGTAGCGACACTTTATTCCTAGATAACACATCTGCATTTTTTCCTGTGTGTGTATTGTGAACTACAGACGAGAAATGGCAAGGTCAAAAGCGAGAAAATGTGAACGGAGACGACCATGTTTGTATTTTTCTGAGATTTTAACATGCAATCAGACCGCATTCCTGAGGTTACAAGGTCGCTAGGCATCACTGCCGTTGAAAAAAAAAAAACTGACCAAAAAAAGAAACGACTACCCATCAACGTGGCTGTTCCCTGTGATAAATAATATAAAAATGGCAGAAATTAACAAGCCTTAAGTAATATACAGACCTTCGGAGTGAAGTTGCCAAAAGGTGAGACGTCCAGCTTCCTATATTCGGATTTATCATTGGGACGTTTGGGTTCATACCACCGAATGCAGATTCCTGCATTTTGAAAATAGGAATACAGCCAAGTATCCCATCACTTCAGAAGTCGGCATTGCTTGGCACTGGAAATAAACTGCGAAACGTTCTGTTGGAGGGCGTGCGGCTTGATGGGGATCATCATAATGCAAGATCTTTGGTTGAAAACGTAAAACCGCGCGGCAGTAGGAAATGATATAAGAGATACAAATTACGAGGAGATTGTGGTGAAAAGCCATAATCAACACATGTACTTTATAATCAATAATAATAATAATGATAATAATAATAATAATAATAATATGACAAGTAACGTCATGATGATAATAATATGACACATAACGTGATAATAATAATAATAATAATAATAATAATAATAGTAATATGACAAGTAACGTGATGATAATAATAATAATATTAATAGTTATATGACAAGTAACGTGATGATAATAATAATATGACAGGTAACGTGATGAAGATAATAATATGACACATAACGTGATGATAATAATAATATTAATATTAATATGACAAATAACGTGATGATGCTAATAATAATGACAAGTAACGTGGTGATGATAATAATAATAATAATAATAATAATAAGAAGAAGAAGAAGAAGAAGAAGAAGAATCGATATAATGGATAAATATATAAATAAAACATTAGAATATGACTTGATATATTTGAAATAGAAAAAAAATTCCACATATTTCGCCAAATACTTGATTTCTTGTACCATTTTTTTTTTTTTATAGAAATGATCGTCAATGAGAATATCAACCACCAATTCTTGGCGAAAATGACAGCTTCGAGATCTTCTGGGGATTCTTTACTATCTACATTCTTGGCATAATCTAAATTTGCAATCAAAAAAAAAAAAAACAGAGACAGGGAGAAAGAGAGAAAAAACGTGAGGGAAAAAGGAGGGGAGAGAGAAGAGAGAGAGAGAGAGAGGGAGGGAAATAATTGAGACAAAAATATGTAATATTGTTACCTCAGGGACAAATATTTATTGAAAAGATCTTGAAGAATCCGGAAAAAGTAAAACGGCTCGTTTACAAGACGGTCTGAAAGCGTATGAAGAGAAATTCAGTTTTAACAAAGTTGTCTTTATATGTCTACGACTGTTTCCAAAGTGTAGAGAAGAATACTGAGTTCGGTTCTCACTGGGAGCTCTCAATATTATGGACGTCTGACCAAATCAGAAATTGCATATCTGGGAAGAGAGACGAACATGATATATAGTGTGTGCTCGCTATTTGGCTTTTATTTGGTTGCTCATATTATTATGGATTGAACCAGACTAAACTCAGTTTAGCTAAATAAATATCGTTGCCTGGTCGTTTATGTAGGAAAGTTGGTGACTAATCCTCGTGAATTAGATGAATATTTCAGCTGAAATTTACCATATTTCGGTGGAAATTGACGCAATAATGAATCGTAAACATTTCGCTTTTGGCGCTTATCGCTTGAGGCCGACTGAAACTCAATTCCAATAATCTTACCTGACAGTTACGGAGAATTTTCTATCACAATTTATAGACATATCTATCTATCTATCTATCTATCTATCTATATATATATATATATATATATATATATATATATATTTTCGAATTTTGTTTCTATCTATCTATCTATCTATCTATCTATCTATCTATTCTTTCTTTCAGAATTTCTATCTATCTATCTATCTATCTATCTATCTTTTCGAAATTTGTTTCTATCTATCTATCTATCTATCTATCTATCTTTTCGAAATTTGTTTCTATCTATCTATCTATCTATCTATCTATCTATCTATCTATCTTCTGTTTCGTTCTTTTCTTTTTTTCGCAATTTATATCTATCTATCTATGTATCTATCTTTTCTTTCGCAATTTCTATCTATCTATCTGTCTATCTATCTATCTATCTATCTATCTATCTATCTCCATTATTTATTTATATAAAAGATCTTTTTTCTCTCTTCCCTTATCTATCTATCTTCTGTTTCGTTCTTTTCTTTTTTCCCAATTTATATCTATCTATCTATATATATATATATATATATATATATATATATATATGTATCTATCTTTTCTTTCATTGAATGTGAAAATCAATTTCTATCTATCTTTTTATCTATCTATCTATCTATCTATCTATCTATCTTGA